GTTCTACATAGCGACCATTATAATGAAAACGTATCCCATGGTTGCTACTGTTTTTAATTCGAATTGAAAGGGAAGAAAAGTGACAATCATTTTCATTTTGAAGCGTTGCAAGTGTATTAGCGTTGCTATCAGTAATTTCAAGTGGGTGATTATAATTATTGATACCAAATATTTTAATTTCAAATTGATTAAGTCCATTAATATAACTTATAAGACGAACACTACAAAGACGGATTAAAGAGTCTTCTTCTTCTGAAGATGGTTCAGGGGATGGTGAATTAGGTTTTTTCCTTTTAACCGACGTTCGGGTAACTTTTTTCCCTTTCTCCATGACTGAAAGAAAAAGTTGTCAGTATACAAATAAAAAAGGTTAAACATTCAATGTAATTTATCCAATTCGGTGGATTAGTGTTAAATTTTGGTGTTGTACAAATATCGATACGTTAAAATTTAAAATCTGTATTTAAAGATATTTATTTGGCAGTACTCTAGAGTTCTTACCTGGATCAGAAAATACCAATCATTTATTATATAAAAACATCACAAAACAATATATAGCTTCATAAGATGTTAGCATCAAAGTTGTCTCAGTTCCTAGGTTCAGCGCGACAGCGTCGCGCAGCAATGTACGTACGTACGTGTTGTACGTTAATGAATTAGAATCTAAATAGGTCACACATCATGTGATAGAATCCGGTTTTAGACAGTCCTCTGATTTGCCTATCGCATCGATGTTCTATTACGAGGAAAAATCGCTTACCGTTACTGTATTCCAAAATTCTAAAATATTTAAAGCGATGCATCGAATCCTAGAGTTTTATTCCGGTATTGGCGGCATGGTTATTATTGATTAATTTAATTTCTAAATATATATTAGCCAAATAAATGCTTACATTTTCTAGAGATAAGAAATTAATTTCGTGATTAAATAATTTTTTAGCACTATGCATTTAAAGCATCGGGTAGTATAGGTGAAGTTGTTGGTGCATTTGATATTAATACAACAGCAAATATAATATATAGGTATAATTTTGAAAAAAATAGTTCATCTTCGATTATTCACCAGGTATTTTTTTTATTTCATCTCTCTTCTCTTAAATTATAATTAAAATCATTACTTTTTTTCATCCTAATCAAAGCGAAACATAGAATCATTACCCTTAGATTACTATGATTCCTATAAAGCAGATGTATGGTTAATGTCACCACCATGTCAACCATATACACGAACAGGATTGCATCGAGGATCAGAAGATATTCGTTCTAAATCATTTATTTACTTAATTGATCTATTAGATAAAATGAATAATCCTCCGATTTATATATTAATTGAAAATGTTAAAGGTTTTGAGGTTAGTAAAAAAATTCTATTTTGAATCATTTATAATGCTTCATTCATATTGAATTATTAAATAGGAATCAGAGACTCGAGATATTTTAATAAAGCAATTAAATAATTGTCATTACAATTATCAAGAATTTTTTATTACACCATTGCAACTGGGAATTCCTAACTCAAGGCTAAGATATTATATACTGGTGTGTTAAATTTCTAGTTTCATTTGAAATACATAACTTATATATTGTTTGTCAAATTCTACTGATTGAACCTTGAAAATTAATTATTTTAATAGGCAAAAAAACGACCACTAAAATTTAAAAATTCAGACAATTCTAAAATATTGAATCATATTCCTTGTTCATTGTATGATCAAGATTTTGTTGACATTCGAAACGCAAACAATTCAAACTTAATTGAAGAAAAAATAACTGACTTTAAATTAAACATTGCACCAATAGAAAAATATTTGACGATTGCTGATGGTGATCGATATTCTATTCCTAACAAGGTACTTACGTACATTAAATTTATTATTTTTATGATTTATGAAGACTTTAGATTTTACTATAAATTTTATTGTGATTTAATTTACCAGACTTTACTCAAGTATGGAAAATTATTTGGTAATTTTATACTTTATTCATTGTTCAACTTTTATGGCATGTTTAATCTAAAGGTAGAATATAATTTTAGATATAGTAAAACCATCGTCAACAAGAAGTTGTTGCTTTACCAAAGGATATTATCATTACGTGGAAGGCACAGGTTCTATTTTGCAGCTGAATGAAGAATTAGATGTAAATTTATTTTTATTTTGTATTTAGATTTTTGTTGGTTTTTTTTTTGGAATAATTTGCTAATATTAAACTATTAAAATGAAAGGCACCTCAATTATTCAAACAACAATTACCAGACCATGAAATGTTGGCATCACTACCTCTATTAAGACTTAGGTATTTTACTGAATATGAAATTTCTCAAATCATGGGATTTCCCAAAGAATTCTTATTTCCGAATGAAATTACGTTAAAACAAAGATATAGAGTTTTAGGAAACAGTATAAATGTTAATGTTGTTTCAGAATTAATCAAGTATTTAATGTTAGATTAATTAGTGTGATAGATTATACTGAAATCGATTTATGCAAAAATTTTGATCTATGGAATTATATTTTTTTTTTCATGTTAGTGTTCTTAATCAAAGAGTATATGTGAATTTTAGTAGGTATTATAGATTTAAATAGGAACCCGAATTTCACCATAAACTGAATTCACATCCTGAAATAATGCGCACTTCTTATAACATATATATTTGTGATTTGACATGTTTACATCAGGTTCAAAATTTTGACTCGACACATATAGCATCTAACTTAAATTTGTGCGGTAAGTTTTACGACGAATATCAGATAATTTTGGTACATTCGATTCCTTTCATCGGAACGAATCGTTTAGTACCAAAATCGTTCAATTCTAATCGCTAGATAATGAGATATCGCACATTAAAGTTTGTCTCAAAATATATTCCTAATTTGATGCTGTGCCTAATTTGACGCATCGATGATATCTCGATCAGAATTAAATAATTTTGGTATCATTCGATTCGTCTCAATGGGACAAATCGAATGATATTCAAATCATGCGCTTCTGATCGATAGCTCGCGAGATATCGTCATTTAATCAAAATATTAGCTGCTCGATACGAAAGTATCGGAGCAGCATTTTGTCTCGAATCGGACATGGAGTATGAATTAATTGATCGTATGATTATTGTTAGTTTGATTTATTGTGATTTTAGTTACGTATTTGTGGGTAATTTGCTTGATCAATTGGTAATCGTTAGAGCTAATCGATTGTGATTTTAGTTACATATTTGTAGATGACTTGTGATTTGTCTATTAAATAAAAAATGTTCTTCTAATCAAAATAACTCTAGTTTTATAAAACCAAATTAGTAATTGTCTTTAATAAAATTTTGAGAAAATAGCCTCAAAAACTATAACTCTTTAAATTTTAGCTGTTTATAAATATCTTCAATTTTCATAACATTTTATTAAGCTAATTGATTTTGTATATTAAATAAAAATGTTTTTCTAATTAAAATAGCTATAGTTTTATAAAACCAAATTAGTAATTGTCTTAATAAAATTTTAAGAAAATAGCTTCTGAAACTATAACTCTTCAAATTTTAACTATTTATAAATATTTTTAAATTAAATCAAATATTTGATCTTTCAATTTGAATTTGATTTGATTTGAAAATTTATATTTGAATTTAATTTGAAATTAAATATTTGAATCAAATCAAATCAAATCAAATCAAATGCAAAACTTTAAACCTGAGAATTCTAATAGTAATAGAATTCTTAGTTTTCAGACCAAATTTTTCATACCATTTTTTGAGTAGACTTATCTTTGTTTGTTTTAGATTATAAGATCTGAAAATCCAAATTCACACTTCTACAACATATATAACTATCTTAAAAAGATATTAAAACTTTAGTTAAATGTCAAAAAATCTACTGTAAAATAATATAGAAAGAACTAGAAAAGATTATCATTAAACAAAAAAAAACAAATATATATTGATCTTTTATTTCAATTATTCAAAGAAACTAAGACCTGTGAAAAAAGAAAAGAATTAATTCTAATAAAAAGACTAAAAAAATAAATATATACTACCAACCCTATAAAAAAAGTTGAACTATGTTTTGTATTCTGTGTTTTGTTTATAAATGTTGCATTTTTATAAAATTTATAACTTTAAATTCTAAAGATTATTTAGCTAGTCTAGATGTTGCCAATTATATTGCAAATTTACAGAGTTTTTACAAAAACAAAAAAAAAATTATAAAAAAACAAGCATCTAAAAGTAATAATATTTGAACACAGCAATACTTGAATTAACAATATTTGAATACAACACCTGATAACAACATCTGAATGCAATGACATCTAAATATGATAACACCTTAAGTGATATTCTAGTCTAATAATAAAAAATAACACCAAAAAATTAATATAAATAAAAACTATATATCTATATATGAGTGTTATTAAAAAAAAAACCTGAAAATTTAAATATGATTTATATTTAAATTGTTAGGTTTTTTTAGCGACACTCATATAATATCAATCCTGTTACTATCACAATATCACAATATACTATAAGTATAAAATTTCTAATAAAATTAACAACTATTTTTTAAAAAAATAAATATTAAATCATAAGAAAAAAATGTTTTTTTTCACTTAGGCAAAGTCGCATTAGTGATTCCTGTTTATTAAAGTTTATTTCATGAAAAAATAATACAATAAAACTTTGACCTTGACATCCTGCGGTTACCTTGCATAATCTAACCAGTTACCTACACGTATCTACAGATGACTTGTCACACTGCAGAGGTATGATTAATTAAGATAATACTCTAAATGGGGGGCTCGTCTAACCACTACCATACAATAGAATATCACCAATCTGATGACATCTTCTTGTAGGAAAGTGAAAGAAAAAGAAAAAATATTTTGTAAAAAAAACACAGGTATAAGAGAATATAATAAAAGATACAAACAAAAAAATAAAGAGGTAAAGGAAAAAATGAAAAAAAAGTGGGATATACCTACACCAGATGGTCACAATTATAAGCCTGTGTCGGGCTTTGTAAAAATTATATACTATACTATCTAAACTAGTCTCTACTCTAATCTATATAATTAGTATATCTAAGCAAAAAAATCATAGATGACAAAAAAATCAGCTTTATCAACATTGTTACTGTAAAGAAGTCAAAAATCATACTATTAGTCTCGAAGTATTATTTGTTTGAATTGCTACTTCTGAGGCATGTAATCTACATGTCCACGTCCCATGCGTATCCACGTATTTATGTAATGGGAAAAAGTAAACAATGGTGACCAATTTAGTAAATAAACAATATGTTGATTTTTTTGAGAGGATAAGCTAAATCACCCACTTTTTTACAAAATTTT